CAGCCAGACCCATCTCCCATGCCCTAGCAGCAATCCTCTTGAGTTCCTTCCAGCCGCCGATAATCCCATCGGAGAAAGCACGGTAAGAACAACATCTCCTCCTTGAGGAAGCTTCTTCTTCGTCAGATTCCGAAATGTGGATCCCTATTTGAGAGCACCCCTTCACAGAGAGCAGCCTCTCCCTCCCTCTTCTGCGAAGCTGTACCTGAAAGAACCCATCTTAGCGATTCTGGCCATACTTTCACCAATGCAATTGATTCACGTGTACGGAAATGGAAGTTTGTGAAGATTTTCCGTGTCGGAATGGAGAATGGGACACGAAAAGTTGTCTGCGATGATCAGATATGGTTTTGTTTTTTTTTTTTTTTTTTGGTGCTCGGAACATGCAAAGCCGGGAATCGTGAGCACGAAAGCGTGAGTGAGACCGAAAAACACAAAAGGGATCGTGAAAGGTGAACGAGAACCTGATGCTCATGAGTCATGGTCATGGCGTTATTCCGACACGTGGCAGGTAAGCAGGCCCAGCTAACGCAGTGTGGCTTGCATGATCGCCATTTTTCTCAATGCAAAGCTAAACCATCATTTTCTCATGAGTCATCGTTTTAACTGTAAAGGTTTTGAGGAAAGAAATGGCCCAGGTTATCAAATCAAACAAACACTTTAATATTTATTATATTTTCTATTAGGATGGGTTTATAATATTTATCAATGAGATATATAGTTGTATATAAATGATACTTTTTTATAAATTTTTAATGATAAAATTTTTATATATCAATATAAATTGAATACATTTTTAAATTTTAAAAATTTCGTTCATATCTTTTAAGCATAAGATTTTTTTTTTTTTAGCCAATAGGTATCCTTAATTTTATTTATTTTTAGGTTTGATCAATAACATAATATTTTTCTAAATAATATATTATCCAAAATAGGAGTTTGTTATCTTATTTCTTTGTGCATGACTGTATCGAGTAATGTAAAGGAAATCAGGAAATGGCAATTGTTTTTTTCTGCATACACTTCTGGCTTCGGCCAGTTTCGAAATATGAAATAATTAGTTATATTGGATTTGATTTGTATTAAAATAAAATAAATAAGTTTAAATTAAACTTTTAACTTTTAAGTCTGATAAGTTTTTTTATAAATGAATCTGATTAAACACTAAACAACACCCCTGTATACTAGTACTGCCATCTCTTGACATTTAATTTAAGCACACTACTTGTTTGAACGTATGTCAAACACGGCAGTGATAATATTTTCAATTTTTAAGGTATGTTTGGTACTATGTTTTGGGATATTTGCTTTGACAAAAATAATAGTTTTCTACATGCACTCGTCACTACTCTCTTAGCTTAAATATTTTAATCTTTTAAAGTATAATCATTGTTTTAAAAAAAAGTACCCTTATTGATAGTGACTTTATATTTATTATAAAGTGTTTAATAGAGGTAAATATAAAAAGATAAAATTAATTTGAAAGTAAATAACTACTTTATTGATGATGAAATTCGGTTAAAAATATTTTATATTTTTAAATGGAGGGAGTATCAATTTTCATCAATTTTCAAGATTAAAGTTTGATATTGGTTTTGACAAAAATAATAAAAATATTACTTCTACTGAAGTCTTAACTCCGCAAACACTGCCCTACCATAACATGGTCCGAGAACATTTTTGAATCATAAATAAGACCTAAATATGAACTTTAGTTAGAGGATAAGAAAAATCAATATGTAAACATAAATTAAATAAATTTTATGTACATTATCATTAATATCATATTCTGTTTTATTTAAAAGATATTTTATAAATAAGTTTTTGAACCTTTGTAATTATGTTCCTCATAGATAAATATCTATTTTTTGTAATAAACTTTTTTTTCAGAATCAAAATTAAGCAAACCAAGGGGAATTAGAGGGGGTTATTATACAGTTATACATCTTACTCTGAAATAATAAAATATTATGATAATGTAGGTTTGCTTAGGCCTATTTGATTCATGAAATAATCTTATAAAACTAAGAATAAAAATGGCGAAGAGAGTAAGAATGAATAAGTATATTTGGTATGTCATGAAAAAAGGAGAAATATTTTTATTTAAGGGACTAAATTAATAAAAATTAAATTTAAAAAGAATTAAATTGATAATTCTGACAAATGTGATGACTAAATGTTTCGTTATTCTTTTTATTTACTTGGAAAATGGTAACTCTAATATAGGGGTGTTCAACTTGAACCCATTTCAATTGGCCTGATATCATCCCGATCATATTGGGATGGGTCTTGTCCCGACCTGAAAATAATTGAGATGGGACAGGAAAGGGGTTGGATGGGATGAGACACGGGATTACAATCGGGACATCCCGTCTCATTTCAAATATTATATATATATATATATTATTTTTTATTTAAATATATTAATTATATTAATATAATTTATACTTCTATTAAGTATATCAATTATAATTTCAATACTTGCAATTCTTATTTAAAACTAAAGTTTTTTTTATATTGATAATTTTAATAGCATGGAGTAAACATGGTGATATCTTTCTTTATAATATATTAATTATATTAATATAACTTATTTTTATATATATCTATTTAATAACTTTTATTTATATCTTATTTCTTGCTTTATTTTCAAAAGAATATTAGCTTAGTACATCTTCACTAAAGTAGAAGAACAATAATTTGATATTATGCTTGACTTGCCTGTTGTTGCTACTACTCTTATAACCTAAAGATCACTTGTATTAGCTATTATAACATGTAGCTGTGATTAATGTAATTCAATAATTGACTTTAAATTATTGTGATTTATGTACTTGTATTGTTTTGATTTTAAATTTAATAAATTATATGATTTAAAATTAATGAATGTTATTATTATCCAAATCTTTCTCTGATATTATTTGATTTATTAGGACGGCGGGATGTCCCGATCTTGTTCAGATCTTTTTTTCGGGACGGGACACAGGACAAGAGCATTCGGATTCCATCCCATCCCATGAACACTCGTACTCTAATATATACGGGGTAAAACATTTTTTAAAAATTCTTTAATCATTTGTAAAATATTTTTGTTAAAGGAAAATTATACTTTTTACGTCTTTTCTATTAAAATATTTGATTTTAGTTTTGTTGCTTTGTTGAATATCTTAAATATTCAATTTTTTAAAATATCAATAATAGCTAGTGTCATAATTATTAAAATAATTTTTAATCACCACAATTAAATAGCACCCATCATAAATACAGAAGTTTTCAAAACAAAAAATATTGATTTCATCTTTTCATCACTCACTCACCTCAAAATAACAATGAGTCATTTCATATTTTCATCCATGATCAATGGAATCATTTCCCACAGTTGTAAGAATCTCTGGTGCCGTTAAAGGCCTAAGAAGCAAAGCAAGGTATCCTATTCTCGTTTTAACACAAGCTATACATTGTCCCTTTTTAATCTAATTTATAAAATATTTTTAAACAAATTATATATTATTAAATATATTTTACAATCTTATTTTTTTAAAAATAAGAATGTAAGCTTTCAAAAATATATTTTACTTAATACTTCATTTGTGAACAAATATTAGAGAGAGACAATATATAAAAAAAGTAATATTAAAAAATTATCATCATTAATAAAATCTTATTTTTAAAAAAATATTTTATATTTTGAGATACCAAATATTTTTAAATATCTTTAGCCTCGGACTGCAAGAAATGTCAGTGTGAGTTCCTAATTTTGATATAAATTATTTACTTTTGACAAGAGAGCAAAATTTGGCTTTTTTACCAATATGCTATAAATAGCAAACAAAATTATTAAATGCTATATTGTAAAAAGTATTTACTTAAATACTATACCAAAATTTCCATCCGGGAAATGGGTTCACATTTGTGATAAACTTATTCACGTAACGAATAATTTTATAGTTAAAAAATTTGACATTTTTTTTTTTATAAAAAGTGAAATTGTTCACTTAGTGAACAAATTCAACTTTTTATACTGATAAACACAATATTCATTGCAAGGATGTGGCCTATCCTTGTGAAGATCTCCCTACGTGCTTTTCCTTCCCTATTCTTCTTCTAGTATTCCTATAATTTAATTTTACTCTGAAATTTTAATTATATAATGTAATATTTAAAAGTATAATGAATCATAAAAAAAGTTCATGTGTATATTTCAAATGACCAAATCATTCATACCTAATCATCTTCCAAATTGCATGCTTGATACTGTGGTGGATTTGTACATGTAAGATATTTGCATACTAGATTTGTCACCATTTGATCAAGAGGAAGTGGCAATTTTTGTCTAATAACTTGCATTAATTTATCTAAGATAATATTTGGGTTAACTTTCATTACTTTCATGACATTAGACTCAAATATTGCTCTACCTAAGCCATGACAAATCCATCCATTTACAAATATACACATAAATCCTTTTACATGATTCTTTCTATTTTCTAAATATTACATTATATAATTAATACCTCAATAAAATTAAATTACAGGGAATATCATGAGGAAAGTAGGGAAGGGAAGCATGTAAGGAGATTCTCATCGGAACAGATCACATTTACATTGTGAATATTATAATGTCTTATTAGTAAAACAAAAGTTGAACTCATTCATTAAGTAAACGATTCCATTTTTCATAAAAATTAAAAAAAATGTCAACTTTTCTAACAACAAAATAATTCTTTGTATGAACAAGTTCTTTACAAATATGAACTCATTTTCTGTCTGAATGATTTCTAGTATAATATTTGGGTAAATACATCTCACAGTACAACATTTAGGTAATTTTATTTACTGTTTATATAGCATATTGATTAAAAAAAAAAGCCAATAGAATTTTAACTGTCACCCAAAACCATGTTGAACGGAGGTGTGCTACTGTATTTCAAGAGTAGTAGTAGTTTTGATGCTAGAATTTAAATGCCACTTATAAACTTTCCTTCAAAACAGGGCTTGTTAGTTGAGAGAAAGGAGGAGGGAGGAAAATGAGAAGTGCGTGTCTGACAGCATACACCATGCATGCAAAAAAAAAAAAGAGACTCATTTGTCTATTTAGACTCCTTGTTAATCCCATCCTTATCCCTGCTTGAACATAACCCGCTATGGCTTCTCTGTTCCCTATTTTGTGCAATATTTTCCTCATGATCATTTCCCATTCATTCACCATCAATTCACAAGACACAAGCTTCTCTAACCCCGCCATATCCCAATGCAATGCACCCTCCAGCCTCCTTCCTCTTGTTCCTTGCGCACCATTTGTGCAAGGTCTTGCTGCGTCTCCAGGACAGCCCTGCTGTGACAACCTTAAATTGCTCTACACACAAATCCCCCACAATGTCTCTGTGTTTTGCAAAATGTCTCTACTCTCATCTCCTTCCCCATCAATAGGACACTTGCTCTCTACCTCCCTGCTCTTTGTACCCTTCATGTCATGCCTCTGACTGCCCAGGTAATAAACACTAGCATTAATGTTAAGAGTATGTCAACAAATCTTTTTGTCATTTAATAAATCATTGTGTTTGTTTTGCCATAGGGGTAAAATTGCCTGCCAATCCACCACCTGCTCAATCTACTGGGACAATAGGCAGCCCTAATATTGCTGGTAATGCATCCTCTGGTTTTCTTTCTAATTATTATCAAGTTTTTTGTTTTTGTTTTTAGTAAGATGGGTTTTGTATCTTATGGTAAGATATCTCTCAGTCAAGCATAATTGTCCAAATAGACACCCTCTCTACAAAATTATCAGGAAACCAAATATCTCACCATGAAAGAGTGTATGATCACCTACAATCATGCCTACAAAAAAGCAAACATATGCACCAACCTACTTGTTCACCAAGCTTTTTTATAGAAACTATATGATTTGGACATGACTTGATTTTTTTTTTTGCACAGTTTTTCTGTGACCTTGTGTTAAAAAAGAAAAGAAAAAGTTGATGGAAAGAATAAATATTTTGATAACCAAGTTGGCTTTATCTAATGATGCTCTCTTTCTCTACTGAAATTTCAGCTTCTCCAGTAGTAACAGTGATACCAAAGCCCAGCATTATAGGATTAGGACTTACAAGAAGCGAAGCCATTAATTTGAAGACTGGGGATGGTTTTGTTGTAGCCATGACCATGGCAATTTTATTTCTTATCAGCATTTAAATTGTAACTGGAGTCCTATATTCTGCAGAAATAATTTTAATTTATGCGTTTTTAATATAGATTTATGTATGTTTTGCGATCACTTTTATTATTTAGTTGTCATACAATAGAATAGGTAGTTTTGTTTACAGTTCAAGTGTAGATTCCCTTATGTTCTGAACAGAAATGCAGGGTCTCATGAATAATTGTGATGTAAGTGGGATTGAATGGACAATTTATTTCCCAAGTTTTGGACCCACTCCTTTTCAATTCAGAATGTTTATCTGGGAAAAGTCCAACGTTGCCCGAAGCACCAAGACACACAGCAACACAGTAACTTAAATTTTCATAATATTAGGTAAAATGGCAGATATAGAGACAAAAATGCATTTCATAATGAAAAACCAACTTGTATCTAAACTTAAGAGCTTGTTATAAAAAGAAGCATTGCTTTAACAAATTGAGTGTCATGCTTCGTGTTTGAATTCACTGGCCCAATATAAAATAGACCTACTCCAAACTAGGAGCCACCTCTGTTGGATTGGACTCGAACACATCGGAGTCTGCTGCCTCAGGTTCTTCCAAAGTTCTCGAGACTGGACAGATTCTTTGTATGCAGGAGTCTCTTTGAAATCTGTTGCCCCTTCATTATATGTTGCCACAGCGATTCCACAAGCAATTAACTGTGACAAAAGTGGGTACACAACAGTGAAAATTCAGTTTACTTGTGTAAATACGACTTGATTGATTGATTCCAACTGTGGAGAGATTTATAAGACGACTAGGTCAATCACAGATAGATATCAAAGCATATGAAAAATACCAAAGTAGGTCTCATTGATCGAATGAATCTGCCTAAAAAATGGTTTATTGGGTAAGATATTAAGGCTTAGAGAGAACAAGTTACAACATATTGAATAGACTATATGCATAAAAATCTTGACAACTACAGAACTGAAGATTAAAATTTGGCTTCTGGTTGTTCAGTTCCATGTGCATTGTAGAACATAAATATTGTTTAAACATTCGGTACAGAAAATACATTAGTCAGAGAGAGTTTGTTGTATTTAATTATATGGAAGAACTTAATCCCTCCCAAACACAAATTAGAAATGATCTCCTATAGCCGATGGCAAGCGGGTTAGTGGAGCCCTCTGTTGATCTTTACATGCAAAGAATTCAATTCCCACCACTACCCTTCCCACAGAAAAGCCAACATCATATCAAATGAATACAACAAGTGATCATAAGCCCTTCAGTGTCCTCTTCCGTTCATTTCATTTACTAAAGATAGTACAATGATAAGTACATGTTTCTTGATGAAATATTACATTTTAATGACAAGTAATTTCATCGGCTCCCTCACTTGCGCAACTCCTGGACAGTGAATTAGCACGTTTCTTTCCATTTAATTATAAACTCCCAAACATATCCTAAGTTTATTTATTATTCAATATGGTCCTTCTAAGTGGATGGGGTTGTATCATATGCATCATCAATAGTAAGCTCCACTTATTAGACTTTTCTTTATGTGAAAAAGCTTCAATTATTAGACTAACTAACATGTGGATGCCAGATTAGTGTCTTCAGATATTTGTGTTTGTTTTGCTGTAGGTGTAGTGTTGTACTATTTCGGTGTTTCCTGTTTAGTATCTTGTGAACTTGCAGTATCAGTTGGCGTGTTTGTTGAATGTCTAAAGTATCATTATTAAACTCAGAAGTAACACAAGCAAGCTCCATAATTCCTAAATAGTTTTTAGATTCTTATTAATTTCAAATGAATTATTGTTATTTTAACAAATGTCACTTGATAATTTGACATGACAATTACAAATTAGGGGTTTCAAAACTTTACTCATTTTTCTTGTGGTCTCAATGTGTTTGTTGTCCGATCATAATAGGTTATTTTTAAAACCAAATAGATACTTGTTAGTGAATGATTAGACCCTTTCTATTAATTTTTCTAACAAGTATCCATGGTTTTTTTTATAACAACCCATTTGTAATTGACAATAAAAAAATAGAAAAAAATTTAAATTATTTTGAAAACAATTTTTATTAAAAGGCTTGGTGGCATAGTGGCCACTATAACATCCTAATTTTTAAATCTTAATTTATTAAGATTAATAAGGATAATTAAGTAAGTTGATGTAGTGTGTGATCAGAAGAAAATAATAATGTTTTTAGTTGGAATTTAAGTATAATTAGGTCCAAAGTGAAACTGGTTCACTTGGAGACCAAAAGGTGGAGAAAAACAAGCTAAACAGCCTCTATGTCACATGTCGCGGCGCATGTACGGTGCCCACGGCTCACAGGGCCATTAGGCAAGAATTTCCTTCTTTGTATCACATGTCGCAGCACATAGGGACAAGCACCGCAATGCACGGTGCAAAATTTGCAGAATTAATACACAAACTGATACGAAAAGTAGAGAGAAGAAAAGGAAAATGAAGGAGACACGCATTTTCTCTGCTAGGGCATGACCTAGAGGAGGATTTGAGAAGGTTTGAGGCTCCAAATCACCCAAGGTAAGATTCATAAACCCTTCTTCTCCTTTCCTTTTTTATTTTCTTAAGGATTTGAGTTAGGGTTTTAAATGAGGATGGTAATTTCGGTCCATATAGGGTATAGGTCCAAACCCATTAACTCAAATGAAGTTAATAAAAGTTATTTAGAGTATTTAAACCTAGTATAAATAATTTTAGTGGTTGTTAGATAATGGGCTCTATTAATGTTCAAAAATGAACAATAAATTTGTTATTATTATGGTTGTTAAGGTATTAAAGGCAATGTGATTGTTCAATGTAATGAATCCCAATCTGATAGGGCTCTAACTTATGTTGAGTGAATATTGAGCAATTTAAAAGTAAAGGATTGAGAGTTTAATGCTTGAATTGATATTGTGATGCTGAAATTCAACTTAGTTGATTATAGTTTTGGCTCTTGGCCACCTATTGGCTTGGGAATTCAAGCTTGGGAAGCATTAGATTGGGGGGGTAAACCTTGACCTTTCAAAGATTTAAGGTAACTAAGGGAGCCCTATCTTTGAGTAATTATATATTAATTGATTGTTAATGTGAATTGTGAATGTTCTATACATGGGTTTCATTTTCAATGTAAAAACCATGTATTAGTTTCATGAGTATGTGAAAATTTAAATGTGCATAACGCTATTTTGGCTTAAATGTAAAATGTGAAGTCAAGCGGTGTTTTCAAACTATAAACATGCTTATGTTTTTGAAAAATGAATGTGATGTAGTGTAGAGGGTACTTATGTGTTATGAAAAGTGAATTTTGAGATAAGCGGAATAATGTTGAAAAAATGATGAGAATACATATTTGGATAGCGCATGGTCCTGAGTCCAATTGCTAGTTGTGTGTGATAACAAGTAAAAGAAAGTGAAAATGTGAAAATGAGTAAGTATTGATTCTGGCATGATCAGTGGTGAGAGTTCACCTAGGGATTGGGAGTGGTGAGAGTTCACCTAGGGATTGGGAGTAAAGAAAAATTCATATGGTATCGGCTATCCTCCAGGGTATAGTCTTGTCTCACAGTTTATTGAGGAACTGTCCCATAGTTTATCGATGGACTAAAAACCTAGCTATCTCTATCGATTTATTAAGGAGAATAGCCTAAGGTATGAGACACCTTAGAGTTTTGAGAATGGAGAAAGCTGTGTGGTTCAAGAGTGAGTCATGTAATCTTTGGACCGGGTCACACCTTCACGATTGATGAGCTTTGACAGTCCAGTTGCACAGTTTCATGTAATCTTCGAAAACTCTATTTATGTTATAGCTCATAGTTTCAGTTTTGAGAAAATAAGGATATAACATTTGTTGATCATTGCCTAAGTAAATATTTGACGTGTCACATTGTGTTGAGTTGTGACAAGTCGTGTAAATGAAGGGACGTTCACATATCTGAAATATGGTGTATGTTGTAACAATGTACTTAATATCTGTGAGATAAGGATGTTATTCATGAAAAAGAATGAATTGTGATATGTATGAGTATATTTTAAGTTCTTGTTTTATATGCATGTACTTATCTTATAATTGATTATAACTACATAGAGTAGATTTTACCTTGGTTATTGAGTAGCTAAACTCACTCTTTCATTTAACACTTCTCAAGCTCTAATTCTAGTGCAGAGAGGGAGAAGGCTCAAGAGGTTAAGAATTAGCATATTCCTACTATATGCCTTTGGCTTAGAATTATTTGGTTGCAATAATATATAAATGTCAATTCTAGGATACATGCTATCACACTTGCACTATTTTATTATTGCAAATGTTAGATTTGTGTATTTAGGCCTTGAGTATTTGTGTATGTTGAAATGTGTGTGTGTGTGTGTGTGTGTGTGGTGTGTTTATAGAGTTAAAATATTAGTGCAAGTGTAGAAATGATGATTTGAACATGGTTGAATTGAGTTGGATGCAAAATAATGACAATTTATCTCCCCCTCTATTTTTGGTAAAATTAAGTTGAGAAGTGAAATTTTATTATACTGTGTTTTGGTGCTTATGACGTGTTTGTACTAGTAGTCTTAGGTCCAATAGAAATTGTTTAGGTGTTAGGAAAAACTTGACACTTGTTGAGGCTTTTGGACACCCATTTGCATGAAAGTTGTGAAAAATGGTTAAAATGTGTTTAGGTATTTAACTTTCTGGTGTAACTTGTTTTGAAAGTGAAACCTGTGCCACTAGTTAGTTCATGTTAAGAGCTTTTCGTAGACACCTAGATCATGTAATAATGGATGTCAGACGGAGAATTGGAATGCGTTGAAAGTTTCCCGGTTCTGTTGTCAAATGATAGCAGAATTTGCTGCTTTTTTGTGCAACAGGCTACGGCGCATTGCCTTGTATCACAGTATATATTTTGTTTTTCAGTTGTATTCAAATTCTTTCACTTTTCTGAGATATCTCATGAATAATATATAAATGTCAATTCTAGGATACATGCTATCACACTTGCACTATTTTATTATTGCAAATGTTAGATTTGTATTTTAGGCCTTGAGTATTTGTGTATGTTGAAATATGTGTGTGTGTGTGTGTGTGTGTGTGTTTATAGAGTTAAAATATTAGTGCAAGTGTAGAAATGATGATTTGAACATGGTTGAATTGAGTTGGATGCAAAGTAATGACAATTTATCTCCCCCTCTATTTTTGGTAAATTAAGTTGAGAAGTGAAATTTTATTACACTGTTGTTTTT